ACCGCAAATGCTTGTAGTGGACTGAGAGTCGGCTTCATCGAGGGCCATCCGGTGAATGCCGGAGTCTCTCGGGGATGACGCTGATGTCCGAAGCAGTGTTTGCTTGTAGGCAAACTGACTGACTTTCGGCGATCAGCTGGATTGACTTTGAACGTGGGCAACATACTCGGAGAATTACCGAGAAACTGGGGTCTGGACTTGGATTTTGATCTAAAACGGCGTTGGGTAAGACATACTGTCCCCATGGAAATGCTACGTGCCACAATGCCCATAAAAAGATGGCGGTGATTTTGCCTCGTGTACTTGCTTAGGTGGCATAACTGCTACGACCGTATTGAGTGAGCAAGTAGTAGAAATGCCTTGAATGATGAGCGAATTATGTTTGAGATTAACTAGTGTCTGACACTCCGCAGCCAGCACTTGAAGTGTGGCTGAGTTGTTCTATTGCAATTTCCACAGCAGACGTGTCTGGGTGTCAGCATACTTTAGGGGAATATAGGTCACATATAAATAGGAAGCATGTTTTCTGGGAGGGAAATCGAGTTGGAGGCGTCCGCAATCCAGACTGACAATGTCTGCATACGCGATGAAACTATCGTATTCCACTTCGTACATCCGGAGGAACCGGAAACGAGTGTTAAAATAAATTATTGCGGAGTAGGATTCGCAACTTCTATTGGTCGTCCTCGGGAGCTATATCGAAAGGGATCTACTTACCACATCGGTCGTACCAGGAATCAAAAATGATATAGACCTGCGAGTCATAAAAGCACTTAGTAACCCTGCCAGTGATGAGAAAGTGAACAACTGACAGTGGTTGAGGGGTCCACGAATGATTTCAAGTGTTTGATTGCAATAGCCTCTATCAGTTTCCGTTTTTGCTGCAACATTTGCCTCAAGTTAGCGTACGCGTCAGCCAAGGTAGGTGAGAGAGTGTATCGCCAAATTGCCATGACTAGTCACTGGTACACATAAGAAACACGAATGGGTGTATGAAAGTCTTCATTCTCTGACAGGACAGTTAAATCAAGGAATGTCCTGTCTGCAGATTTCGTGAAGTCCTCATGGGTAGAATTCTTTAAATGGAATCTGGACGGATACATCATTAAACTTAAACCACGAAAGTCACGCCAATTGTCGTATTCAATGACAATCTTTTAACAGTTGCCAACCGCAAGGCTCTTTTTTAAAGGGCACTCAAATTTACCTCATAAATTGCATACGCAAAAGCTCAAGCCTATTCTTCTCAATAAACTCTAATGTACTGATTTTGTTTTCTCTAAACAGAACTAGATGAGAATAAGCAACATCTACGAATCTGCTTCGTTGGAGAGGAGTGTACCAGCTGAAACCGCTTTAATATGGAAACGTGATATACCAAATGTGCAAACATTATTTTTTATCATTACTTTATTATCATTCTTTCTATATTTTCGAGTTTTTGACGTCTTTTAAATATTCTACTTCCACTATTTCACCCATACTACCAGCTTTCACTCATTATCAATGATATTCTAATAAAACTAATAGTGTTTTGCTCGCAGGCTCATATAGCCCTTACAGAAGCGCACTGCATTAGTACATACGCAGTATAATCGGCAACAATCCTGCATTGGGTTTCTCGCAATAAAGACTAATTTATGCTTTGAAACCGTAGTTTGACTTAAAATCGGATTATATTTCCACTAAAACGGCCCTTTTCACAACTTATTTCAAAGAAATATAATTAAAAGTTTATATGTGATTTGTTTACTTGATTTCGTAGTGGTTGTTTTACTAAGCTATGTGAAGCTAAAGAGTTCACTCAGGCATTTAAAACAGCGCTGGTTTTGGATACCACCGGATCCAGAGGCATTAGACACGACGATGGGCATCAAATCGGTGCGGAACGTTTCGAACTTTTTCTGTTTATCCATTTGTTAATTTTTACTAACATGCGTTCTTCTTGGTTTAGCGAGGCGATAAGTACCGCGAGGCCACCGGGGCCTCCGGTAAGGATAAGAAAGGTGAACGCGATATGCACGAACTTAAGCAAGAGCTTGAGATGGACGAGCATAGGATAAGTCTTGATGAA